TATATATATATATAGTTGTAGGTTATTTGTCTAACGAGTGCTCTGGCATGCAAGTGCAGTTTGCTTGTCAAGTAAGCCACAAATTGCTTCCAATCAGCAAAGTTTTGCTACTTACTTAATACATATACATTTATTGAGGGTAACTCACCCAGATAATGAGCTCATTGGGTTGTGTGTCGTGATGCATTATTTTTCACATGAAAATTGTGTGCCTGTCAAAAATCTGCTCATTTGTTAATTAGCTGAAATGAAAACAAAAAAGTTTCATTATTGCATAATACTGGAATTAAGAATATTTTCCTAGCACATAATATGGGTATTTATATTTGAAGATCTGTGGCAATGAGTATTTATTTGCTTCCACTATGACAAACCCAGGATGATTTTACAAAAGTAGGTGTACAAAGAAAGTGCTTGTTTGATTTTTTTTCTCTTTTTTTTTACACATAAATGCCACTTACATTCTTTCTTTATGTTGTCACCTCAGATGAGTTCAGTAAAACTCCTACGGCCACGTCTCAACGGCATTCTGTTCAAGCTGACGTTTGAGGAGCAGGTGAATAACATCCGGCCCGACATCATGAATGTGACATTTGCTTGTGAGGAGGTGAAGAAGAGTGAAGGTTTGAGCAAACTCCTGGAGTTGGTTTTGCTGGTTGGCAATTACATGAATGCCGGCTCAAGAAACGCCCAAACCTTCGGTTTCAACGTCAGCTTCCTTTGCAAGGTAACGTAAACAGCACACATTTAAAAAAACCAAACATGTTGGTTAAATGTCTAAAATGAGAACAGAAATGAAAATGAAAGGTGAAATTTAGTAACTGTAACTGTATCACGTGATTTTCCGCTAAAGGGTGGCAGATTTATAAGAACATAAGGGAGTTAACTAATTAATTCAGAATCATTAAATCAGCATTTTTTCACAGTTTCGTCATATTTTAACATTAAAGATGATTCAAAATGTATTTATCTGATTTTACGTTTTAAGTGATCCCAATTTGTACAAAAAGTCAGTACCCCCGATGTTTATGCTGCACTTCTCCTCCAAGTTAGTAGCGGCCAGGTAGTTTTTTGCATACTTGCTGACAGACAAACAAACAGCAACATTTTCCCTCCACCTCAGCTTTCACCTTGGAGGAGGAAAAATGTTTCAATAGACAAAATAACACAAACACTGGGAGGTATGAAGCTGCCAGCAAAGGCTACATCTGTGTTCACTGCCAGGTAAAATCACAGCATCCAAAGGTGTGAAAGAGAAGACTGGCAGCCATGCACACACACTTACAAAAGCACAACAAAGCCATCAGCCCCACAGCCGAAACAGCTAGGGTTAGTCATGATACCATGAGTTGAAGTACATTTGTTATTGTACATGACTGATTGACATAAGTACCGTATTTCCCGGACTACAAAGCGCACCTGAATATTAGCCGCACAAGCTAAAATCAGGGGAAAATCCTGGTTTGTACATACATTAGCCGCACCTGACTAAAAGCCGCAGGTGTTTCAATGTTGACTCATCATATGTAAGAGAATATGCACAAAGCGAATCAGGAAAGAGATGGCTGTTTGGAGACACACCCCTTTTATTAATATTTTGAAAAACAAGTTATGAGTACATATTTGCACAACTTTTTAGGTATATGTACAAGTAGCGGTAATTACAAGTACGAAACATGTACTGTGCTTCATAAATGAGTAACAAATGTAGTACATAACAATAACCTACAGCACACCAGAAAAATAGATTCGGACTACCTTTTAGGCTCAGGTGCAGCGACACGGCTTCAACAAGAAGAAAAGTCAGTGATTCACCATCTTTCTCTTCCTGCGCACTAAAACCACCAAAGTCCTCTCCTCCAGTGTCGGAGACGAACAGGTACAGGGTGGCTTCGTCATCCACTCTCAGCTTCTTTCCTTCGTTGTCACTTTCAAAACCAAACAAATCCTCGTTGTCAGTGTCAGAGTCGAACACCCTCAGAAGGGCCGTGGCGGTGTCCTCCTCTCCATCACGCAGCAGTCCAGCCCTTCAAATCCGTTGGTGATCGTGGATGTTTTCACACTTTTCCACGCTGTCAGATTCCACAGGTGGAGTTGGGCATAACTTGCTTTTCGCAAGTTTATCGCCGCTCATCATCCACGCCTCCCGCTGAACGCGTAGCGCTACTTTGAAGTTTGTTTTTCGCGCTACTTGTACGGCACTATGTTGCCTGGCGGATGGACATGTGACCAACATACCACTCTTGAACCCCGATACTGTGTGTCTGATCACATGCCCTTCCGCCAGGCAACGTAGTGCCGTACAGCAGCGGAACAAACAAAACAAATCCTCTTACGATATGACAAAAATCAGGACAATCCAGAGAAAAGCCGCACCTGACTAAAAGCCGCAGGGTTCAAAGCTGGTGCAAAAAGTAGCGGCTTACAGCCCGACAATTACGGTAATCACCCAATATTTTAGGCTAAAATGGAACAATATTGCAATATTTATAATAATATATAAATTTAGTTAAATACAGACACCTATATACAGACTTTCTGTACCTCTGTGAATGCACTCTAATAGCTTCTAATTTGCTTTTCTTTGTCGTTTCTAAAATGTCCTGATCTGTTTTTGTTTGTTATGCAACTAAAGTCACCTTTTTAAGGAGTTTTCATATTCCCAACTCAAACTCTTACATAGTAGAAGAAGGGAAAACTCTTTTCAGCTGCTCCCTTGTCACAATGGGTCACCACAGCAGGTAGTTCTTTGTGTTTGATTTGACAGATTTTTTTGCCGGATGCCCTTCCTGATACAGTCCGAAAAGGGGATTTGTCTCTCTGGCTAGAAGTGAATCAGCAACCTTTTGTTTACCAAAAAAATTACTAATCTACTAAAATATCGAACCACTAATGATTCTGTACTTACGCAAAAACCAAAAGTACGGAACAAAAGAAACACACTGACATATATTACACACATAAATGCATAAAAGAAGGAACAAAGACTCCAACCAGACATTCTCTTTGTTTTTCTTGCTTTAATGCAGGTTTATCTGATAATAAACTAATAAAATAGTTACTGGGGGATGTTTAGAGAATGGACAAACCTCCCCTTAATACCGCCTGTGGTTAGCAATCTTGCACTGGCGAAAAACAATCAAATAATATTTCAAATATATGTTTTGGGCATTTTGTTCTGTTTAGTTTCATTTTTTGGTCAAACTACTGTTTGCTAGCTGTGCTTCAGCTTTAACCTCCTAGGACCTGCGTCCACATATGTGGACATCACATTTTGGGTTATTTAGACCAAAATACTGAATTTTGCTCTTCAAGGGCCTGATATCCACTCACGAGGACATTACACTGCTACTGTTCTATCGAAATTTTAAACGAATATCCTCATATGTGGCTCTCATTTTTCTTAAAAACAAAAATAAGGTTAAAAAAAAAAATCTGGTAATTCTTTGTTTTTACATTCATCGGGCTCCAATATGCCCAAATATCAAAGAGAAATTAAAAACGCTGCTGTGGAAGAGTTCGGGTCTTAGGAGGTTAAAAAAAATAGAAAAAATGTAAAAAAAACAAAAAATAGAGCTGATGTATTCTGATGATCTCTCACTTCATATGATTTTTTTAATATTAGACAACTATGCATGAGTTATAAAGCCACCCCATTCTGCATGTATCTGAAGTTAGCAATCCTCCACATTTCTTGTACAGCGAGAGCTTTTGTATGGTGGATGCAGTGTACTGTACTTTTGGTATTCCTGCAAGCTGACTAAATCAGTGTGGAATATCAGTGTAGAGCCTGGTAACGGCTCAGGGGGCTGATTGGCCATTATTGATGGACAAGGAAAAAAAGTCTGCTTTCTCACTTTAGTCAATCAAGTAAATGGCCTCCTAGGTGGCAGGTCCAGGGTACCTAATGGGCTCATCATGGAGGAGGTTGATGATGGGAATAAGCAGCAAGAGGAAAGGCACAGGCTGACCCACCTTCACCTTCCACCTCTTGACTCCCCTGGTTCAATCTCCTATCCTGTGGAGTACTCACTCATATCCTGGTCACATATATTAAGCAAGCTGAAATTCTGCTAAAGGGTTGCAAGAAGTTTAGTAACTGTATTGCTCAAAGAATACCTGTATTACACTAAATACTTTAAAAGCAAAATTCGACAAAGCATGGTCATTCAGACTATAGAAAGAGAATGTTTGCATCTTTAAATGTGTGTCATACGTGTATAAATACTGCATGAGTCAAAGAATATTTGTTCTTTCAAGTAAAGAACACCTGGTAATGATCATGTTTGACTTAAGCTAGACGTAACAGGATGTCTAGCAGGCGCTTGACTTGGTGGAATGGAGTCATCTACCCGAGAGTTCTGACCTTGTAAAAAAATACAGTATTTCTACAGGAATTACTGTTTTTTTATAGAATTACTAGTGTCTTTAAACACCAAAGCACAAGCATTTATATTGGAGTTGAGGAAACCTTACATTTTAGTGTAGTGTGCATTTGCAGAGCTTTTTTTTCTCAGCAGCTGCGTGTACTTTTATGTTCAAATGCCGCTTTTGCTTTTTTTCTCTGTTTCTTATGATCCAGTGTAATATTTAGTTGTATGAGTAATCATGCAATATATTTGTCTTTTGAGCTGCTCCATCTGCAGCAGTTAAATTGAGCAATCAAGGGCCGACAGTCCTCTGTTAATGTGAGGGTTCTATATTCCCACTGCCACTTTTTCTGTTATCAGTTTTTCTGTTGTTTTCATTTATTTATTTCCGATCTACATATTTAAGTGGGAACTTGTTTGCACGAGATATGTCCTGCTACTCTTAGTTCTCATGTGTATGCACTTCTGAAGGATTTCAAATTGTGTTACCTCAAATCAGGTTTTGTTATGAAAGACTGAACGACAGAACTGTTCAGCATTTGCTTTCAACAACACAGTAATGAAGCTTTTTTCAATCTGTTTCAAATGAAAAGATTTGTCTAAAGTAGTGACATGTATTTACACTCCATTCAGTTCTGAGTAGTTACTGTATTGTACGAAATATTTTATTTGGGTAGTTTAAAAAAACGCATCTACGATAACAGTTGAGATATCCTAGGAGACACTCCTCAGCTTGGAGCTCTGACGGTAAAAGTCACTTTTAGTACTGACTTTCAAATATCCAGTGCAAGGCATGGACTGAGATTAAAATGGCTCTGAACTTTGACATGTGCCCAGGCACCGCACAGCCCCTGACACAGTTCTCACGATACCTCAAAGCTGCATTGACTAAAAATCCTGATGTGAAATAATGTGAAAGTAACATCAGCACCTTGAGCTTTATACAAAGTCCTTCTGCCCTTATAGAGGCCCTCAGCCGGATGTGTTACTACTACCAACGACTCCTTCTGCATTGTAGCGTTCTCTCTTTAAACACAGTATACTTGCAACCATACATGACTCATCTTGGAGGGTTTTCTTTGTTTGTTAATAGTAAACCATTACCAAGTACTTAACATGGCGCTGTAGTGCTTTGTTTTGTTTTTCTTTTTTTGTTTTTTCATTTAAATCATTGAAGTAGTACAATTTCTTTGGATTTCTTTTTCATTTCAGTAAAGCAGCTACGTTGGGCTATCTAGGATTTTGCTTGTTTTGGGATTCAGTCTTATTATGTCAGAGAAAATTCACCTTACAATGCTAATCATGCTTCCAGATTCATCAGCCCCGTTGTTACAGGTGTGTGAACTCGAGCACGCAGCTGTGCTCTGCCCTTATAAATGTTTGTGAAGAAAGGGGTCCTTCTGAAAGGTTCACTGAATTTGAGTGTGGCACTGTAATAGCATGACCATTTATGAAATTTCTTCCCTCCTATCATTCCATAATGACGTGTGAGTGGTGTTATTGCAAAGTGGAAACATTTAGGGACCACAAGCACTCAGCCATGAAGTGCACAAGAGGGCTGAGGCGCATAGTGCGTTAAAGTAGTCAGCGCACTGCTCCTCAATAACTGCGGAGTTCAAACGTCCTCTGGCGTTAACATCAGCATGAAAACTGTGCACCAGGAGACTCGTGCCATGGGTTTCCAAGGCTAAGCAGCTCCTGTATGTATAATATGGAGATCTCTCTTTCCTGACAATTCCCTTATTCTTAATAACAAATGTGCGCATCATCCCAATGTGTCCTAGATTTGTTCAAGATAAATATAGGGTGTACGTTGTGGCTGAGGTGGCAGAGAGGGTTGTCTAACAGCTAAAAGGTTGGTGGGTTGATACATTGGTCATCAAAGTATCCATATGCAAGATACCGATATGCTGCCACTCATGCATCTATCATCGTGTGAATGTTGAAAAAAGTACTTAGCCATGGATAAAACGTTGCATGAATATATTTGTGTGTGTGTGAATGAATGAGACTTATAGTAGAAAGTGCTTTGAGTGGGCTCAAAACATAAATCCAAGGCACAGTTGCTCTTTTTACAGTTGGAATGGTCGAAGTGCATCAGGAGCTGCAAATATTTTTAGATGCATACATCTAAAAATATACAGAACTATCAATTTAACACCTTACAGACAACCACAACAAACTTTATTTATAGAGCACATTTAAAAACCAGTGGTATACCAAAGTGCTCCACATACGAGAGGGTCAGATATAAGTAAAAGAGAAAGATGAAGGCCATGGCCAAAACCAAACATGCTGGCCAGTTAATGGCAGTAAAAACACAGAAACAAAATTGATTGCACAAAAGTCTGTAGTAGCGCTGCAAAGAAAGCAACTGTGTGCACAGGAAGGAATATTTAGATGCCAGACAAGAAAGAACAAACCCATTTGAGAAAAATTAAAATGATCTGCACGCTGTTTGTCTTCTGTTAAATAATTTAAACCCTAAAATATTTTTAAAGACAACATTTATATCCTCTACACGTTTACTACTGCTAGAAAATTATGGGCTCAGTAAAACACTCAATACTCTTATTTTGAAAAGATGCATATGAGTGTTATTTGTGTGTAATAAATATGAAGTTGTGAATATAACGTGGCGGACAATGAGAGATGCTTTGCATGCTCTTCAGATGACAGGCGGTCTCCTGTCTCGGTGACAACCTCTACCCTGTGGGAAAAGCAAAACAAGGAGATGTGTGATAAAACAGTTAAAGTGTCCAAATACTTTAGATCGATAAGTGAACGATAGAATGACAGAACAACCTGTTGCAGAGATATTGAGGCGGTGACTTGTGACTCATATATAATTTGCCGTCAAAAATATAAACGTAGACTGCTGTTTTATTGAGTCACATACTTTTGATCTAGATGCGTGTGGGTGGATAATTGAATAAACAGAATAATAAAGAATAGCTGAAGATGTACTCACTGTGTTAGAGACGTGTTATAATCACAAATATAAACAGTGAGGCACACATTCACATTTCAGCATGGTTTACCTCCTGGCTGCGTTTGACCAAACTCCTCATGAAACCTTCTTCTAAATTATTATTATTACTTTTAGAAATGACATCTATTACCAGCTACAGTCAGCGTTGACCAGATCATCTTACTTTTTAGTGATGATAATGTCTGATATCTGAAATAGAATAAACAGAATGTGTCCCTCAGTCTCGTTGAAACCGATACAATAAAGAAAAACAATACAATGCAGTTTTATAGGTCTGTGATTACCCCAGATAAGGATCATTTTTTGTTGTTATTATTATTATTATTATATTTTAATTGTCTCATATTACATATTACTAATCTTGGAAGTTTCTCTTCTCTGCGCAGTAATAACAGTTTGGCAATATGACAATAAACCAATTAAATTTCCATGAAATTCAGTTGTGATTAGCGAAACGATGATTGATCCTCTTCTAATGACAACAGTGTGTGTGTTTTTGAGCTGATGTGTGACAGCGTCTTTTCCCTACATGTGTGCGCATGAGCACACGTGTTTCCATGCGTACATGTGTGGGCATGTCCAGCTGCAGGCTGTTTACAGGATGGATATTATCAGTATGAGTACACTGAGGTGGGCTGTGCTAATTAGCTTTCCCAGCATGCCATTCAAACAGCATAGCAATCACAGTGGGCAATGAATATGGAACAAGTTCTCTATGCACTGATGTGAAGAATCCAAGCTTCAGCTTATGAACAGACTCACACACACGTGGCAAATGCAGTACATTACTTTTGTTCAAACTTTCCTGCTCCAGCGATTTATTCTCAGGGGAGTGGGGTTATTATTTGTGTATATACTGTACATGCATATGTGTATTATTATGTGTTTCGGTTTAGTCTTCAGTAATTGGTTGCACATTTTGGGGGGGTCTCATTTATTTTACCTTCTCCCTATGTATTGTAATCAGTGTGAGTTGGAGTTCTCCAGAATTTGGGCTTTTGGCTTGTTAGGAACTAATTTTGTTGAATGTACAGCAACAGCCCCCAGAGAAATCCCTCTTGTGTTTCTGAGTAAACAATTATGTTTAACATTGTCAGTGTGGCTATGGACAATAAAATATAATGTAGAGATACAACACATTGATCCCACGAAATATATTGTTTTAGCAAATAATATTATATCTAATTTAGCCACACTTTCTCTTTCTCTAAAGCACATCTTACTAGTTGCATTATTATTACCATGCAGTTGGTCCAAAATGACAGCCAATGCTTCGTGTATATTAACAGGAACACATAAAAACTGCTTTTAAGTAACAGGGCCATTCCTATCATAGTCTTCAGTGATATAAATCTTTGTTTTTGCCAAAATGTTGTGATGAAAAACACTTTCCTCTTTTCAAAGCTTGCCTACATCGACTCAATTTTAATTAAAATTCACATGATTATTTAAGGAAGCAGGCATATCAAGCTGCAGATGTTCCAGACCTGAATGAGGCAAAAGACCGTGCTTAAAAACTTATAACAGTCACTGATTTTAAGTGAAAAGAGCGTCTGGTATTGAGGATTAAAAAAAAACCTTTGGTTTGACAACATGTACCTTCACTGAGAAAATGAAGGGACATTGTTTTCCTCAAGTAAATGACTCTAAACATCTGTGAATCTTTTTTTCCATCTTTTTCAGCTCCGAGACACTAAATCTGTCGGTCAGAATACAACACTTCTTCATTTCCTGGCTGAGAAGTGTGAAGAGAGCTACTCTGAAATTTTGAGGTTTCCAGATGAACTGGAGCATGTGGAGAACGCTAGCAAAGGTACGTCTGCCTGCCTGTGTAGTATGTCTCAAGACTTTCCCAGTCACAGACCAGTTTGCTAATACCACTATAGACATCTTTACTGTGCTATTACCACAGCACATCTTAAAGTGGAGTGGAATTTGCAACCATCTAGATATCAACGTATTTTATAGTTTAACCAGTTTAAAAATATCCCCGATGGTGTATGTTCTTATAGTCTCTTACTTTTGTGAGCATTATGGTAGCTCATACTGAGTTAAAATGATGTAATTAAAGTACTGTATGGACACTTATACATTTCATCCTTGGACGTCAGCCGGTACTCTGTCTCTGTGACAGGAATAGAGTTGTTTGTCTGACCACACTGTCATTCAGCCTGTCAATAAACTAATTCCACTTTAATTCTATTCTCAAGCAATTGGTGGAATCCCTGCAGGCTTATTTACTTTGTTAGTCTCGTAATTGGTTATTTAATCTAATTCAACTAATTATGTACTTGACTGGGACTGCCAGCCATTGTGTAAGTGGGCTGAATAGTCTTCAACCGCTGCATATATTAAGATGTCCATGTGCACACATTTTGAATTGTATCAATTTTGTCATTTCATGGAAATGAATTATTCAAGGAGAAACCAATTAGTTGTGTGAGACCAGTAAATAAATGCCTCTTGGGGGGAAAAAAAACAAACTTCAGGATCTATTTAAGAAGTAGGGATGCAAAAAGCGGTTTACTCGGCATCTCACTTACACCACATACTGTCCATTCATCAATCATCCCGTATAGTACATTACACTGGATATTCAAGCAGGCCGTCTCCCGTTCACATTTTTACACAAAATATGCTAATGTACCTACAGGTCATCGTAGTCAAAATGGTATCTTTGTTTTTTTTATTCGTACATGTGCATTATTTGATATATGTTATAGAATTTATAACAAGCTCAGAAACCACAAAAATTGAAACATCTCTTCTTTTGATCGGTTAAAAAGCTCTAAAGCTGACAGTACCTGCACTTTTGGCTTGGATGACATTAACAGTTTTTATACCCACTAGTTTGATTTTAATGTATTGTTGTTGCCTACTTTCAGAGGAAGTTCACAAATGTTTAAACCGTTGTGGTAACAAGAGCACAGTTAATAATGTTCCTCAGGGACATATTAGGTCCCTGAAGGTTAATTGCTTGACGCTATTTCCTGATCTTTTACAAGGTTTTGGTCTCATTTTAGGCAAACTGACTATAGAAAATGTATTAAAATGGTTTATTCATATTAATTTCATCTGAATGCACATTGTACAATCTAACTGTTTAATATAAAATCAGAACTACTTTCACATTTATTGAAAGCTCTTTTTCATGTTACATTACTTGAACCGCATACTGTTTAATGATTTATTGATATAAACATCCATGGAAAAAAAAACATCCATGTTGTTTCTTTGGAAACCTTTTGGCTTTGTTAGAATTGTCATATTAAGTCTGTACAATATAATTAGCCTTTACCCTAAAACAACAGACCAACAAAATAAAGTAATTTCATATAGAGTAATATGGAGCTGCACAGATGACCTTCATCCTCTCCTAAATATATATATTTATTATTTCTTACAGTAAATCTCAGGTGTACAAGCATATGATTTCTGATTGTAAATTGTTAGAGGCTTTTAGAGAGCGGCTGATTTAAAGTGACGTAGGGAGTGATGTGTGACATGAACGTATAATGAATTCACTGGTTTAAAAGTACAGTTAATAAGCCTCATTCGTAAGGGCAGTCAATCCTGTCTAATGTCAGTAGGAAATCATAGTTTGTTTTTGTTTCCTTGATTAGCTACTTTAGTCTCTAGTCTATAGGGTTTTTAAAAAAATGACGGTACCGCAACACCACTGAGTTATCGTGTCAGACTGTGCAGCTTATTGAATTAGTTTCGCTGCCAGTCGTAGTCCAGTCTGTTTGTTTTTAAAAGTTTGGGTTACCCAAAAAGGCAGTTCAACTTTTTTTATACCTTATAGGCTGTCTTGTTAGGAGGAATGTGTGTACCATAATGGAGATTAGAGGGTAACAATAACTAAGTCCAGCATATGTGAATGTTCTCAATGGAGACCCTTCATTCCTCATAGGATTCGGCTATTTTCAAAGCTTACCTCTGTAAAGGTCAATTTTAATTAAAATCCACAATTATTTAAGGAGGCAGCAAGTTGCAAATGTTCCAGATCTTAATGAGGGAAAGGCTCCTCCTTTTTCCACCTTAAGCAGTTCACTGTGGACATATAGTCTTAAAGAAATGTTACAATGAAACATGTGAACTTTTAGTAAAATAAGTACCACACTTTACATTTTACTTTATTCTGACAATAACAAAAAAAAAAACTATGACACTGGCTAAATTATTTGCTTCTGTAATTTCAAAATTAACTGTTCTCTGCTCAGCAAAAGGATACTTCACAACAAAATGGTAGCAAAATGATCAGTATTAACTATATTTTTCATTAGGAATGTGGAGCAGCACTTCTACTTAAACAATGTGTCACACGTTTTAACGAGGACCCAAATGCAGATGCTAGGAGAATAAACTTAATGAAAGCAAGCCGTTTAGTAAGGCTGCACAAAATCAAAGGAAATAAAAAAGGCAACATGAGACTCAGACTTTCACTAACAACAAACTGGGCAAAACTAAACACAAAGAACATGGAACATGGACGAGAACGATGGAGGTAGAACTGACAATCTGGCCAAAGGCAAGGGGAGACTGGGACAATATACACACAATAGGGTAATCAGGGAAGTGGAGGCAGCTGGGACAACAGGAGGAATAAATCAGTAACAAGACGGAAGCGAAACTGAACACAATGCACATGAGACAAGGGTCTGTCAAAATAAAACAGGAAGTGACAAGCGCACTCAGACTGACTAAACACAGAGAGCGAGAGACACAGAGAGAGACGGGACGGGCTGGGGACGTCACAGGAGATAATTAAGCAGTTACAGCAGGCAAGTGCTAATGAACGGTGCAATTTGTAAATGGGTTAATATCAAATATGAGATTGTCATGGTGGAAAGAGACACCTTTAGACCATGGCAAGAGTGAGCATAACACAAGCCACATGGTGGTCATCAGCAAACTCTTTCTGGCAGATGTCTTGTAGCAAGCAAGTGTTTCCAAATGGGCTATCTAAGCTGCTCTGCAGAGGCACAAAAAACAGGCTAGGGTAAGGACTGGAAACGCAGTGGTTTGCCACTGAAACTTGAGTGCAGCAGACAAAAGTCAAGCTGACTTCCCTTCAAAAATGGAAGAGACCCAGCAGCTCCATCAGCTCAGAATTGGCAGAAATCAGTGAGACCCTGGTATACTTCCCCACAGTTCAGAGAAGTCTGCTCAAAAGGACCCTTTAGGGAGGATTTGTGGCCAGAAGAGCAATTCCTCAGTTACTGTTGCACCTATTTTTGAAAACACAAGAACTACGATACAGAAAAAATGCCCTCCCTAAAAATGTTCTGGAATGAGCCAAAATGCAAAATATTTGGCAGTTTGTCTGCTGAAGGACTTGAGGGCTCCAAAATAAAGCATGTCTGCAGGCAACTGTGAGATTCTTTGCACGATAGAACTTTTACTGGTCTTGTAAATCCTAAGCTCACAGGCAAATTCTTATCCATCACACAGTACCATCAAGGACACATCCGGCCAGGCACAAATGCATTCTGCATGACAACAGCCTAAAACATGCAATCAGAGTTATACTGAAATGTTTTTGTGCACTGATAATATGATTCCCAGAGAGCCCTTACATAGTCTCAGATGTAAACATGCACGAAACACTTTGTATATACCTTCTGCACTTTGTGTGAAATTAACTGTTCAGTTCATTACTTTCATATATGCGGACCCTGTTAGTGGGAATAACACAGGGGAATACTGTTACATATTTTTCATTTAAATAAGTCTCACCACACTTCTACTTTTCACTTCTACTGCACAATCCATTATATTCTTGCTGTGAGAGGAAGCGCTTAAAACAAACAAAATATAAGCACAATCGTAATGGCGTGCACAACATTTAATAGTGCAATACTACCTTTTCTCCTCCGTGGTCACCATAATTATTTTTGATAATTCTTTCAGAATCAAACATTTTAAATGTATTTTGACTAAAAAGATTTCAGTACGGGACAAAGCACCAGCCTTTGGCAGAATATTGATAAAGCCACTGTGATTCATTTGAAAACAGCACAAAGTTCTACTTTTTGAGAAATTACATGTCCAGAGGACTTCATATTGTTGATTCATAATCTGTTATAACATGACTATAATTAACTTGTTTGTTTAGATTTGCACAGACTGACACAAACAATGTACAGTACACAAGAGTGAGACTAATTCAAATAGATTTGTATGATTTTATTTTCAGACTATTCTTTCAATGTTATTCTAGTCAAATAGGATGACAAACTAATGATGCTGCCATTTTTGCACAACGTTTGGTAGTATTTCCTGCAGGCATTAATAATTCAGCACGCCATCATACGGACTGATTAATTGAATGCTCAAACTAAGTAATTAATGGGAACTGTGGCAGTATTGCAGTAGACTGTGGAACAGGATAGGCAAACCATTAATGTGCATTACAAAAAACATCAAATAAAGTGACTCGGCTGCTGATTTTGGTAAACCTTTACTTTAACTGCACTACATTTACTTTCATTTAACAGTTATATTTGTGTGCATTTGGTTAATAGTTTAGGTTGCCCCTTTGATAATAATCCCACTGTAGTTAGCTGTATGAGCTGTGGAAAGTGTATGTTGTGGCTGCAAGCTTTTTTACTCAAACAATGTAAATGCTCAAAATTTCAGCAGCTTTATTAATAATTCAGCTGCCCAGCACACACAGTGGAGTCCTGGCTTGTTCTTCGACATAAAGCAGCATTCTAGGCAAATCTTTTTCTAGGATGATGCACTGTGGGCAATACTGAGGCTAGATAGTCGTTCTGTGTATAAACTGTATATCCTTTCATTTATAAATAT